AAGCGAGGAAAGTGTATGACCGCGCAGACTGGACTAAAATCGGCGAGCGGGTACTCCAAGAAATGAGTCCGTGGAAGGAAATTAGAACTCGACCGGCACTCAACATGATTGTGGAAAAGCTTACCAAAGTGACAGCTAAGGCCGTAGACCAGTTCACGCCAGACGCGCGCCCATCGCCATACGCCAAACGATGGTTCACCCCGGCCCTCAAAGCTCAACAGGTTGAAGTCAACCAGGTTCGCAGAAGGTGGCAAACGAGCTGCGCTGAACTTGGTCGGGACCATCCGAGTACCTTGGCCGCCTTCCTAAACATGCAGCGGAAACGACGAGAGTGGACCCGGAAGATCGAAAAAGCGAAAGCATCACATTGGAAACAGTTTCTCGATGAAGCAGGCGAAGGCAAGCTCTGGAAAGCCGCAACCTATATGAAACCTCGGGAAGCCTGGGGATGCGTCCCTGCACTTCAAGCCGGGGCAATACAGCTCACTGACAATGAAGATAAAGCACAAGCGTTCCTTGACTCGTTCTTCCCGGAAATGAACCCGCCCGACCCACGTCCACCAGATGTGACGGAACTGGAACTCCCGTGGGAACCGATCACCGAACTGGAGATACAAAGATCACTGAACGCGGCTAAAGGAACTACCGCACCCGGAGAAGATTGTCTGCCGATGCTCGTGTGGAAGAAGTTATGGAGCCACTTAAAAGACATTATCACCAGCATCTTTACCGCATCCCTGAATCTAGGCCATCATCCAAAGCAATGGCGAAGCGCGAAGATCGTGGTATTGCGGAAACCAGCGAAGTCAGATTACTCGACCCCTGGAGCCTATCGCCCAATCTCACTGTTGAACACCCTGGGTAAACTCCTGGAGTCAGTGGTGGCCCGGCGGCTGTCATTCCTAGCAGAAAAACACGGGCTACTTCCAAACAGCCAGTTTGGCGGACGCCCAGGGAGGACGACCGAACAGGCCCTGCTGGTCCTCTCCAACGCAATCGACCGTGCGTGGTACAAACAGAAAGTCGTGACCCTCGTCTCGTTTGACCTGAAGGGGGCCTTCAACGGCGTAAACAAAACTAGCCTGGACGCTTGTCTGCAGGCACGAAGGATCCCCACAACCGCACGGAAATGGATCGCAAGTTTCATGAGCGACCGCCATGCGAGCGTTGGATTCGACGACTTCCGCACCTCGATGAAGCCGCTCGCAAATGCTGGGCTGGCACAGGGCTCACCGCTGTCCCCCATCTTATTTGCTTTCTTCAACGCCGACCTCGTCGATCAGCCCGTAGATTACCATGGGGGCGCCTCAGCGTTCATTGACGACTATTTCCGCTGGCGAGTGGGCAGATCGGCTGAGGCTAACCTGGCCAAGATCCAGTCCGAGGATATTCCTCGCATTGAGGAATGGGCGCGGCGCACCGGATCCAGCTTTGCAGCCGAGAAAACCGAGCTGATACACTTGACCAGGAAGAAAGGAGAGCAGTTGGAAGGACAGATGGTCGTGGATGGAACGGTGATCCGGCCGTCGACCACAGCCAAGCTACTGGGAGTGGTGTTTGACCAGGAGCTACGGTGGAAAGAGCATGTTCAACAGGCTGTCAAACGAGCAACCAAAACAGCAATCGCACTGTGCGGACTGCGACACCTACGCCCAGAACAGATGAGACAACTCTACCAGGCATGTGTCACGCCTGTGGTGGACTACGCGTCGACAGTCTGGCACGACCCACTACGGGACAAGACGCATCTGCGACACTTGAACACAGTACAGAGAACACCTCTGGTCCGCGTTCTGTCGGCATTCAGAACGGTAGCGACCGCAACGCTGGAAGTGGAAGCCCACATACTTCCCACGCACCTTCGCCTTCGTCACCGAGCACAGCGCACCATCGCCAGACTTCACACACTACCTCGAGACCACCCAGTGTGGGCGGCACTCCTGCGAGCTCAGAAACGCAGAAACAACGTTTGCACGTCTGCGCGCTTCCCGCTGGCGGAAGCGTTGAAGACCATGGACCAGGACAGGCTAAATGGGCTGGAAACAATCGACCCGCGGCCGTTGCCACCGTGGCGCGCCGATGCCTTCGCAAAGATTGAGATCGAATCAGACCGTGAAGTAGCAAGGGAACGAGCGGAGACCGCGCGGTCCACATCGGACGTGGTTGTGTATTCGGATGCTTCCGGCCTCAAAGACCATCTAGGCGCGGCGGTGGTCACGCTGGATGAAAACCTGGAGGTAGTGGAATCTAAACAAATTCAAGTGGGGCCAGCGGACCGTTGGTCGGTTCACGTAGCAGAGCTGATAGGCATCTACTACGCCATCAATATGGTGTTCAGATTGGCTCACCAGCGCTTACGCGACGCGCGCGGACGGCAACCAACTGCAACTATCCTGTGTGACAGCAAATCAGCACTACAATCAATCCAAAGCGCAAGAAATAAATCAGGACAACGGATCGTCCACGCGATCCTCTCAGCGGCCGCCGAAGTTCAAGCAGCCAACATCTTGCTTCGTCTCCAATGGATTCCAGGACACAGCGATGACTTCGGGAACGACGCAGCAGACCGACTAGCTCGAGGAGCTGCGTGCCCAGGCAAGACCCACCCCTTCCGCCCGCTCCTGACGAGGGAGAACACACGCATTCGCGGTGGAATCCGGGCTCAGTGGGAGCAAGAGTGGAAATCAAGCGCGAAAGGCGGCCATTTACGGAAGATCGACACCACCCTACCGGCAACATATACTCGGAGGTTATATGGAAGTCTGCCCAGGGGCCGGGCGTACCTGTTGACACAGCTACGCACGGGCCACAACTGGCTGTCTACCTACGCTAAGACCTTTGGCTTCCGGGAGGACGATCAGTGCGTCTGCGGCGCACAAGAAACAGTCACCCACGTTCTGGTAGACTGTCCAAGACTGGCCGAATTGCGGAGGAAGCTAAGGCAAGAAGTCGGGGACGCGTTCAATAGCGTGGCGAGTCTGCTGGGAGGCTCCATCGAAGGTGAGAGAGGTAAACCAGACACCGTCTCGCGAGCCAAAACGGTCAATGCCGTGCTGGACTTCGCCGAGGCGTCACAGCGGTTTCGCAGCCGCGCGCCACAAGGGCAGCCTAACAGTGAAAGCGGCAATTAGGCCACGGGAGGCCCTGACGAGGCTCTAAGTTCGTTTTCAGGAAGTGGATGATTCTACATGTTTATACTCGGATACATATATATATATATATATAGTTGTGGTAACCTGCATATCGCCAAAGGCGAGAGGTCGGGGTAAATGAATTATACATACATACATACATACTGTAGTATAGTACATCGCCTTATGTATGTCAAAGGCTGTCGTCTGGGTCTTTTTCTCTAATTCTAAATCACCCAAGGTGCAGTTATATATTCTTCATCCATCGGAGCCCTATATTTAAGTACTTGAATCACCTCTAAGCTGTCATATATTCGTCTGCTTATATGGATGCCGTCTAAATTTTCAGTGATGTTTCATTTTTCCCCCTCCAACACCATTATGAGTGCCGTTTCCTCCCAACACAAGCTACATACGAAATTCCCGGTTCCTGCAAAATGGTTTAGACAATCCTCACACATCCAGTGACCGCACCTAGAATGAGCCAACCTCGATGTGGCAGTAATGCAGATGTGACAGAACTCTACTTTTTCAATCTTGCCCGATAACCATCTTAACCACCTTCGTTTTGTCTCTTCACACAGCTCCCTCTCTTTATCTACGCGTGCTCGAAGAAATTCAACGCGCTGCTTCAGTGCATTGAGATCCTGGATTGCCGTGCTCTGACAGTCGACCTTGGGAACTGATGCAAGCTGCTGTGTGCCTGGTATCAACCTTGGGCCTTCTATCTCAAGCCGCCACGACATCTTTCGCTCGATTGAGATGGCCAGGAAAGACTCCACAAGACTCCAAATCAACCGATCTTGGGATTCCGGTTCGACGTCGGCACATGAGAATGGAAATGACGATTGATCTGTGTTAAACTGCTTGTTATAACCAAAGTCCAAGTGGATGACAACGACTTCACTTCGATGATGCAAGATTACCTGATACTGGCCGAGTGCTTGAAGGTATGAAATCCTTTCCAGCCTGGGCGTGAGGTGCCATTGCCCCAAAATCTAGGGACTGTAAAACAAACAAGGCACTTATAGGAGCTGGAGGAGACGCGCTAGTAAGATGAACACTGACATATTGAATCCTAATGATTGAATCAAAGTGCACTTGACTCTGGTTTTATATCCAATTTCTAAGTATCCTTATCAGATTTTGTCGACATAACATGGCGGAATGCTTTGCTGAGAATTCTGGTGATCTAACTCGATGCTATGATTATGATACCAGTACGTAGAATTGGGCGGGATACGGACTATATCGGAATGCACGTGTGAATGTCAGACCGCAGCGCTGTTTGCTTTACAATCGACCCTCTATCCAACATCGTGCCACCTAATGAGAATTACCGTCTCTAATCATAATTTTTAGCGCTGCAGAGCTTCCTATGTTACGTGGAAAAGCCATCACAGTATTTATTTTCCGTCCCGCATTTTTATGGGGACACAAAATGCTTTAGTGTACCCAATACTAATTCGGCTCACATTATCTTGTCTCAGTGATTATTTTTGACAAGATAAATCAATTGTACCTACAGCTACGTAGCCTGGCGAGCACCAATAAAGATGATCTACTACAATCTGTTATTTGGATGAGTTTCCTGAGGAATTGGGATCAATCCATGCCTATCATCAAAGATCTCAGATCAGTCCGAAAAATTATCTTATCCTTCAATAAAATTGTGGATATTTCTGTCTATTAGCTAAGGGGGATGAAAAACAGCAAGTCAATATATCGGCGTGCTACATGTTGAAATGGAAAGCTGAAGGGAAAAAAAAACTGCGGGAAAAAGGGAAAAGAAAGAGAAATACAACACAGCAGTATGATTGGTGATTCCCATTCGTGATTGAAAGAATTGTCGAGCACAATACAATCGACCTACTGGCTTCCAGTACCACCGGCTTCCCAATGGCCCGGATTTGCTTCAGCACTTTGCCACCGGTCAACATATTCTGTTGCAGGCCATCGCACTGGATCCATGAGCAAGTCATCCATGTTTGTCCCCACCGAGAAGACCTGGTCCCCTGGTAGGGTGTAATGAGGCCATGAATTTGAAGTTCCCATGTCTTCTAGGGCATACTGCGGAATATCGGTGCTGGGCCAAACGGGTAATGCGTTCATCCCCTCGTGGTCCGCCATTCCATCCCACGCATCCCAGTGTGCGCCGTTACCGGCCAAATTGCAGGATAACCAATCCTGGTTTTCCGTGCTTATATCAATCAAGTCTGCGTCCCCTCGATCCTCTTGATTGTTCATTGTCCCCGGCCATCCCTCATTCCACCCTGGAGGGGGCAGTTGATCCAGGCCTGGAGTGTCCACGGAGATGTTGTTCGGCCATATCATTTGTGACGATTCCCATTCATGTGATATTGTTTGAAGCGAGGCACTTTCGGGGGTGTAGTCAGGTATATCCATTGACATGGCTCCAAGTGTTGCTGCCGCTTCTAATCTCTCAAGTGAGCCATGGCTTTGCTGTTTTGGTTGGGGATGAGCAAGTGGTAACAGCGAGTTAAGATATACTACTCGAGTGTCATCCGCCGGAGACAGGACAGTTTCATCTGCTTTTCCTATGCCAACATGCATTCGGGGTGGTGATGAGGCAGCTGGTACCATAGCTGGTTCCTTGCTTTGGTCATGCTCTGTACCCCGCATAATTTGATGTCTGTGACAAGATGGATCTTCTGTATTCTTTCCCGCTGCTAATATACGGGGAACAATCCGTGGTTCGCCACGAATGCATGGTATTCCTCTCGTTTGACAGGCCTGGCAGGTTTCCTCTTGACTGCACTATATGGCTATCAGTGAGTGCACTTTGACTGAAATGACCGATCTGGCGAATTTAAGACATGAGATACTTACCTTGATCTTCCTGTGCCGGCAGTATGAACACGCCGGGACTGTACGCTTGCCTGGTTTGCCACGAATGCATGGTATCCCATTCGTTCGGTAGGCTTCCTCTTGCATGCACTGTATGGACATCAGTCAGTATGATTTGACAAAAACCACCGATTTCGACAATCTAAAACATGAGCTACTTGCCTTAATTTTCCTTTGGCGGCAGGATGAACAGGCTTGAACTGCACGCTTCCTTTTCCTAGGAGTTTTGTCGTCCTGCAACCAGATATCAGTCTTGATACAAACAAGAAAGAAGCCGGTTATAATGCTGACAGCTGATGATAATAAATACCTCTTAGGTCGCCCACGCCTGCGTACGTGGTTGTCTTCTGGTTTCCTGTAGGCCCCTGATAAATCGCCGGGGTTTGCTGCTCGATGCACATCCGATGTACCAGGCGTTGTGGGAGCCATGGGCCCGCTGCTATCTGCATAGCAATCCCTAAGTGTGTTTGAGGCATCAGCCAAGAATGAAGCATTCTGTACCCCAACCACTTTACAAAAATCGTGCATCAAGCCCGATTCTTTGTGATTTTGCACGGGTGGTGCGTTGGATGGGGTTGAGTTTTGCATCTTGTCCCAGAATTGGCGCATTTGGTCTGGACGTGCAACTCTTGGGAAGATTTTGGACTGGATCGTAGAAGAAGTATAGAGACGAGGGGTTTGGGATGGCTTGAAAATCTAACTATTTATATAGAACAGTCCACTGGTACCAGTGACAGGCCGGACGCATTATGACGATATGTCGATTCACAGATACCATCCATTCCATACTTCGGGCGAAAATACGATCCATGGCATGTGGATTGATCCTGATTGCAAATTCGTCTCCTGCATTTCGCCGTTGTCTCATCTGGGGTTTGTATGTCTACAGGTAAGGGTAACAGGGAAGCGCAAACGAACACTGTTTACACATGGCGTATTTCTGCTGGCCAAATAGCGTCTACCCAAGTGCGTCATCGCGTCAGGTCTTAATGAGCGGATGGATGCTCTCTAAAGCACTGATAGAAATGATGGGAAGCGAAACATTGTTATGGTTAGACTGATCCATTGCTCGTCAGCCTTGATGGTTGCTATTCTCGTCTGACTGAATGTAGTGACTTTCTAAATCTACTTGCAAACGCGAGATTTATTTTCAATACAGTACTTTTTACATAATTTGTTACCCAATTCTCATGTCTTTCTCTGCATGAATTGCTCCATTGATGCATCGGGGCCCCGCTGCAACCGCTCCCATCGGCACAGGGGTCCCAAAATTACACAAAGCAAACGAATGGCCATCATTCAAACAGACTATGGATCCAGGGACACAAGGCGCACTTGATACTGAATTCTGAGAAGCTCCGTTTGATGGCGAAAATGCTGTCGTTGCTGTCATTGATTGCATTTCGTGAGTGTGCCCTGGCGTTGGCATTGCGCAAGGTAGTCTATTGGTGCGGGTGATCGCAGTAGCCACCATTTCGGCGGACGAGCTTGTGGAATGAATTTGAGACACCCCCTGATCGTCGCGAAATGGTGCAGCCTCGGTGCAGTCATAGCCTGCAGAATCCAAAGATCCCTCAACATCATGTCCCGGTCTGGGAAAGTTGACCGCTTCCCCCTCCTTCGTCCGGCATTGGCCTTCCTTGTTGATGTTGGCCAGGAAAATTGGTGGAAGGTCTTCAAATGCAGTCTGTGAGACGGATTGAGGATGGCCGGGGTGTCGGTCAGTTTGTATAGTGACCTGCGCACAATCCATGTACATCTCGCGATTCCCCACTTTGTTAAACCAGGTCCATGCCAGAAGTGCCTGTCCGCTTGGGGAATTATCTGGAATTCGAAACTCATAGTTTTTTGCGAGGGGACAGTCTCCCAGAATAGATTTGATGACATGGAAGTTTTGCCCCTGATCGTACGACAGCGCGATCTGACATGAACCACCCTCGTGAGTGGCGGTGCCTTCTAACGACAGCGTATACTCCTTGCCTGCAGTATAGTTGGAGACAGACGTGAATGCATCATTTGCGTAACCTTTGCATGGATAATCTGAGCCCGATGCGTCGAGCGGAGATGTATATGAGTAGTCCGGGTTGGACTGCGCAGCATTGAGGGGACTCCGAATGGGTATTGGATTGGTCATTTGCATATGCCCTAGTGCGACTGGAAATACACAGCTGAGAGATAACCAGACAATCTTCATATTTTCTGTAGAGTCTGCTTGACAGCTTGAGACCTTTGTAGTTTTCTAATCAGAGAATGGAACCCAGTTAAAAAATTACCACCGTTTCTCACAGGACTACAGGGTATATCTGGTATTGTACCACCTGGACATGGTTGACCTTATATGTTGAATGCCCACTTGCGCCTAGCCGATTTTCTTGGGGGATTTGGGGCTAGAAAATAGATACGGCGCACACTGGGCCCAGTGGCATCAAATGCGCAGTTTTCTCTAGGCCTTCTTGTTCCCCCATAGTAGAAATGCACTTTATGTTGTGATTCATGTAAATATGGTGCCTATGCATATTCAGCCCTGGGGAGAGTATAATTACACATATGTGAGTATATTCAACGAAAAGAGCATCAAAGTAGATAGCTCTCTGTCAGCGTATTCTAGAGATGATAAAGTGCAAACTGCTGAATTTAATATATGTATATATAAACGAATTCGGAGGTGAAAAGAGTTGAGGAGTAGATTACTGTAGTCGCTGAATCATTAATAACGCTAATTTTAGGATACCAAGGCCGTAAATTCTTTTAGGCTCTGTTTTGGATATCATTTTAGGGAGATGTCGGAAACTGTTCCTTGAGCAGCAATCCCTGCCCGTATGGGTATACGCTATTCCTATTTGGTCTAATCTATTACGTTGGCCGGACGGGAGCCAAGATGTCAAACATTTCGATTTAAACCGGAACATCAACGCAGCCGCAAGAGCGCTAAATCCGGTCGACTTCATTCAACTTCAACACCAGATTTTGTGAGCAGCATGATGCTTAATTTCCTTTCCAGTTCTAGTTTACCTCGCGTGGTAGTGCAAGGGACCAATACAAGCCAATGAAGTGGTTCATCGAGCCCGAATTGAAAGCAACAAGTGCTTCATTGCTTTGACCTGGACCATGGCCCAGAAACTGAATCGACAGGTTGTGTCGCAATAGTAGCAGGAAAATTTGACAAAATCAGGACGCAAGCATGGAAATGGCCCCGGTCTCTACGGCACGTTGGGGCTTGACAAAAGTGCTCCACAGGAAGTGGGATGCACCGTCGATGATGTCGCGGAGCAATCAGTCGTTCCCTATAT